TAAGGGTATATATAAAGGGGTAGGCCTATAGGGCATACATGAGATACATATAGACGTCCCCACAGAGAGACCCACTAGTTGTAGCCAATGAATGAGCCAAGCCAACAACTAACCTGGTGGTCCATCTGCCCAAGTGCTGTCCGACCCAAATCCTCTTTCTTTTTTATTTACTTTCACGGAAGAATCTAATATCCATATACTTGCATTATATGTGTGTGTGTGTGTGTGTGTGTGTGTGTGTGTGTATTGGGAGTGAAGCGTGGTGGATGCGTCCTTGTTCTCGGGATAGATAATATAGAGAGAGGCGTTTGTTTTAATTTGTTCATTCGCTTTAATTGGTGGACCAGTGCATGTATAACACAGTGATTATTTTGGGCTCTCCCCCTAGTCTTCTTTAATTTTTTTGCAATCGCACCTGATTTCTTCACTGCTCATTTTGCTCCCAATCACATCCGCATTTTCGAGTTTTTGCACACATCATCCCGACCCTCTCAATTCTATACTTAAGTGACTACTAATTGCATGATGTCTTGCACGCCTATCTATTTCAATTTTAATTTATTGAATGTTTACTTATCATGAATGGAATCTTATAATTATCAATCACTCGCTGCTCTTGCCGCACCTTTTCCTGTTACCGCGACTTCAAAAAAGTTTGGGATGCATTTTCGTCAGGGTCCGCCCTCCATCGTCAACCAAAATGTTATATGTAAATATAACTTTAACATTTTCCTATTCCCATGATTTTAAACCCTCTATACTGGCCCCAAATTTTAATTTTAACTATTTTTTATACAAACCTTTTCTTATTTTTAATGTAATTTTAAGTTTTTTCCTGCTGCCACCGCCTCAAGATATCCACTTCACCACTTCGAGGAACTCTCTTTAATTCCGATCCTTTCCAGTTTCTAACAAAATGTGATTTAATTTATATAAAAAAACACTCTGTCCATTTATAATTTAGAAAGGACCATGCATGATTTTCCTCAAAGGAAAATTGAAGAAGTTATATAATAAGATCAGTATATCGTTCCCATCTCGGTTTAATAAATTTGGTGGCTGGCTGAAAATATAGAAAATCCCTTGTGTAAGTAAATGAAGTTACATCGGCCGTGAATGATTGTCTAGCAACTCAAAGGAAGGGGGATGCTTTCAGGAACATTTGAGATTAAGCTAATAATTCAATGGTTCCAGAACATAAACCTGTTAGAGAATAATTGACATTCAATATGGACATGATTTATATATAAAGAGCCGAGGAAACTTGATTCACCGCGGGCTGTACGCATGAGACACACACACACGCCTAAAAAGTCTAATATCCCTCTACATTAATAATCCCTCATTCATGCGTGAATAGGAGAAAGGTTGCTTAGCTTGGGAACCCTATCTAGATCAGTGCGTAAACAAGAGTAAGAGAGACAAAGTTGATTGTATGATGAATAATAGAAAATACGGAGAGAGAGCGAGAGACTTTTGAGGGGAAAAAAATTAGAAAAGTTATTGTTACAAATATCAAAGAAGGAACCAATGATGATTTTATAAAATCATAAATGGAACAGCATCGGTGATTATGCAAATAAATGAGAATCCATGAGAATGATGGGTAAGTTGTATTTAACGAGGGGGGAAAATTAAAGACAAAGGTACCCTGTGCCCATCGTGGGCATCTCAAGTTAAATTATGCGATACCTCCATGAGTCTCTCTTTTTCAATCACATTCTCTAACCCACTTTTTAATAATTACTCACACATGCCTTTTCTCAATGAGCCATTTTGGTTCCTGATTAGATGTTTTCCAATATAAGTGATGTTAATCATGTTGATTGTTGTAATGTGAAAGTCACATCTCCACCTATGCATTCGATTTTACTTAGGACGTATAAGCTATAAACTTTTCCCCCTCGTAAGGAACTGGACTCGAGTTTCTTATTGCTAGTTTGTTGTCAACACTCCATATATACATCTTAATTACAAAACATTTCTCATAGGTTTAAGAGTATTTAGCGACTATAAATTATAAGAGCAAAATGTCACTTTACAAGCATACACGCACGAGTGTGTGTATGTGAGACCCCAGCCTAATGCCATCGAGTACATATACATTAATCACTTGATATATAAATAAAAGGGTTAAATGATAATTTAAATTCAGAGACGATTTGAATCTTAAACTAATATTCAATATATTTTGAATTCTGAACAATTAAATTTAGAATTATTTTTCCTTGCCATTAATATAGGATAAACGTCAGTTAATTTTCAATAACCACCGGGCCCATCTTAATTTTCCTCTCTCCCCTTCTCTCCTTCCTTGCTCTCTCGCTCTCTCTCCTCCTTCCCTCTCATGATCATCATCTTGCTCGCTCGTGTGACAACTCTAGCCCAGCTCACTGTGGCAGAAAACAGAGGGCATGATTTCTACGATGTGAGCGATGTGGATGGAGAAATATTTTGTTAAGATTTGTGTGCGGCGTAGCTTGTATTTCCACTGCTTCGTTCATTGGGCTACGAATCTTTTTTCTTGTATTCTGTATTTCCAACTATTGCTTCTCAAGGATCGTGTTGAACTGTTCACAGATTGATTGAGTTTGTTGCTAACATTGCTTCGTTAAGCGGGGCTGTTTCCGATTGAAGATAAAGGTGTTGGTGGTTTCGCAAAGTGGAAGAGAAAACCTTAAAGGAGGCATTGATCTCAATGATTTAGTATGCTGCTTCGATCTCTATTTTACTTCTCTTGCATGTTATCTTTTTCGTTGTGAGCAAGATGGGTGTTGCAATTTCTTAGTTGAAAGTCATTTTTACCATTCTCAATATTTTCTTTTTTGTAGATTTTTAAATGCATAGGACTTTTTGAAGTTACAGTTTACAATTTCTTTTCTTTTCTAATTACCTGTTCATGATTTCTCTCATTGTGTTTTTATGATAGGCGACTGTAGCTAATCTCGGCGTTTAAATGTACTTGGAGTAATGGCATTCCAGGTATTGGGTTGCTTGCTCCTTGGCCGCACCACCGAGCAGAACGATGATCAAGAGAGAAAGAGGAACAAGAGAGGGAGGGAGGGTGGAAAAGGAGAGAAGGAAAGAAAAGATATCAGGTGATGATAGGCCCCACTGGTTAATATTGAAGACGTTTATCTTATGTTAATGATCGGAAAAAAATTATCCTAACTTCAGTTATTTAGAGTTCGAATTATTTCAGAACTTATAATTTATCTTAACTTCAATTGTTTAGAATTTAAATTATTTTAAAACTTATAATTTAAAGTTTAAATTGCTCTTAAGTAAAATTATGGATTTGCTAACCTCAGCACCTAGCTCGTGATTAATATATATAAAATTAGGTAGCCATTAGGAAAGGTTTTGTGTATATTTTATGAGGGGACTGAGGGTATATAGAATGATGTGAGTCTATACTCTATACAGTGCATATTTTGCTGTTGGTTTCCAGGCGTCGCTTTCCAGTAAAAAGGCACCCTATTCAATAAGCCGGGCAAAGTTTTTAGCAAGCAGTGAGCTTTATGCATACATAGCTCCCCTACTTTTCATGGTGTCACCTGGATAATGATGCGCGGCAAGAGTATTATTTTCTAATGAATTACTATCTTCATCGTTAAGTTATTAATTTATTTGAGTTCAATCATCATCACGTACCATGCTACTATATTTGTCACTTGCAAATGAAAAGAAAAACTCAATTTAGCTAATAATTAACGTGCCCACATCGTCAAAACCTATAAGCAATAATGTTATTGTGTGGAGACCGACAACGTAATTAATTATTAGATGTGGCCCTAAACCATCGCAATTTATTGAAACCAACTTTCTATTTTACCTTTCCAAGCAAAGATAAGAATTCATTGGTGGGTGTGATCGTTCATGTAGCGACGGAGACATTATGTGGTGGGGACGGCCTCGGAGTTTAGGATGATATGTTTTGCATAATTTTTTTTTCAATATAATTTGGGTGGTACATGTTCACCGCCTTAGTGGTGTCTGTATAGTGCGTCTACAACATCATTGATCGTTGCACATTGAAATGTATACAGCTTCGAAAGTTAAAAATCAATTCATGACAAGACAGTTTAATTTCCAATAATAGATATTAATGATTGTTATGGGGCTGTTTATTCCTCTCCAGATGGTTATGCACTGCTATACATGTACACTAGATCTTAACATTAAGACTCAGTTATAGTGCTTTATTTCCTAACCTCTACATCGACCTGCAGACAAAGAAAAAGAAGAAAACGAAGTATGAACAAGAGACTTTTGCCATGATGGGGGGAAAAAGGAAATTAAAGGTCAAAAGAAGAAGAGAAAAGGGTTCATGTATGTACAGTACGTAGAAGCAACGTACGTAGAGACGAGGAACAGAGTATCGTGGTTAGGTTAGATACAGGAATGGCAATGGAATGCAAGGCCAGACTTGAATCAGGAGTAATTATTTTAAAATCTCACTCAATATAATTAATTATTCAGAGATTCATTAATAATTAAATTTAAAAAATAATATATTTTTTTTTACTTCAATTATCAATAAACTTAAAAATAATTAATTATATTGAATGAGTGTTACATGTAACTATTTTTTAATAATTAAACTCATTGTTGAATCACCATGTGTTGGTGTTGGTCTCTTTTCTTGAGTGTTGTTGTGTGTGGGGTCCTACTAAATTACCACTTTTCCTCTGCTCGCGGTTCTCGAATCCCTAGACGATTTCAACTGGAAGGAGACGTAGACGCTCTGAATTTGGACGATCTTAATTGAATTTGGTGGCTCCTATTAGGGCGCGTGAGGAAGGCGTCGTTGATTGCATAAAAGATGGAGAAGAGGCTTTGTGATCCCGAAGCTATGTGTTTCCGTGCTTACCAAACACCAAATAGTGTTTACGATTGGCGGGAGAGTGTGTACAGCAGAACAAGAAAATTACTGGGCAACTAGTAGATGCATAGAACTATATATGATAATATAAAATGACACCACAGTAGGAGGGAGAACTAAATAAGAAGGAACAGGAGATAGAAAATGGACCACATGCACTCGGATATACATGGGAGTCAGAGGTTATTTCAAAAGAATTAAATGACAGAGGAGGGGCATAGACAGCAAGCTGTATACCCTCATCCGCCATCGCTTCTTCTCTCGTGCGTCTCCTCCTTTATCCATTATTGGCCTCCGTACGGACGCTCCTGAGCTCCTTTCTGCATCCATCCATCCCTTTCATCATTCTCTTCCTAATTCTCTTCTCTTCATTTCTCCTAGCTTCCTGGCTTTTTGTGTCCCTCGCTATTTCCCAATTCCCTTCCCTTTCAGCTTCACATGGGCTGATTAAGCTCTCCGCAGACAAACACGCAAAAGCAACTTGATTTGTCGTCGTCTAGCTTGCGTAGACGTTTGAGAAGACTGATTATAATATACTCAACATCTTTTTCTTTGTGGGAATTGATAGTGAGATATGGGGACGTTCTTTCATGGAGGCAGTTCAGAAATCCAACCCTCTGGTGCTCCTGCCGCCGCCGGAGACGGCTTCCACACCCTTTACCTTCTCAACCCCGCCACCGCCGGCCCCTACGTTCCCTACTCCGGTTCGAACCCCCATCCTCAATCGACGGCCGGCGTGCTTCTTCTCAATCCCGGCTCTCCCCCAAACGCCCTCAACCTCGCCGCCCTCCCCAACGCGCCGCCTCCTTCATCCTCCGACCACGATCCCTCCCGACCTTCCTTTCTTGGACACGAAATCTCCTCCTTCCACGGCTTCACCGCCCCGGCTGCTCCTCCTCGGGTCCACTACAACCTCTGGGGCTCCATGATTGATCCCCACCCGACATCAGCCGTGGCAACAGCGTCTAGCAGTTCCGGTGGGGTTCAGTCCGCCTCCGCCGCCCTAGACGCGTCGCCCCATTTGAGTTTCAGGAGGCCTTCTCAGCAGGGTCTGTCCCTCAGCCTTTCGTCTCAACAAACAGCTTATAGGTCGCTTTCCGGCGAGCTTGACGTTCCCGGACACCCTCATCATGCTGCTGCCATATCGACCTCGAACTGTGATGATGTGCGGATTCTGGTTCCGAGTAATCATGTTTCTTCAAATGGAATTTCTAGCGTGCAGAGTTTTGTTTTGGGATCCAAGTATTTGAAAGCAGCTCAGGAGGTTTTGGATGAGGTTGTCAATGTGGGTAAGGGAATCAACCAAGAGGTGGCTGTGAAAGAGAAGACGGAACCAAATAAACAATCAACATCTGGTGGGCATCGTGACGGTTCAAGTGGTGGTGATGGAGGAGGAGGAGAAAATAGTGAAAATGGGAAGCAAGGAAGTGAGCTCGGTGCGGCACAGAGACAAGAACTTCAGATGAAGAAGTCCAAGCTTGTCGCCATACTTGATGAGGTACGGTATATTATGCGCACGCACCGTTATATATACACATGCAACTTCCAGAATTAACTTTACACTATTTAAAAGGGAAAAAAAATTAAAGCCAAGGAGATTTAGATATAACGTCCATCAGCTATTATACGAGGCAATTGTGTTCGATCTTCTCGTTGTACTTTAATCGGGGTCCGGTTTTGTCAGTTATTCAGACTGGGCTATAAATTCAGTAATTTGGGAAAACTGTGACAGGGATAGAAATTGAGAATGTGACACTGCAAGAGGGGTTTGTGAAATTGACAGGCGTAAGTCTGTCTCTCAGTTATCAATTCTTACCATCCTCTCCTGAAATTCTGAATGGTATAAGAGGTGTCAGAGAATAATTTGGTTTTGGGCCCATATTTGGTCAGTTGCAGAATTTCAGAACACAGCAGTGCCCATATTTATTGATTGACATTGGGCAATGAGGTTCAAAGTATAACAAGCACTTTATAGATACAGATGGGTCCATTCTTCTTTCTAATGACAGCTTTGTTTTGAACTTGCAGGTGGAACAGAGGTACAGACAGTATCACCACCAAATGCAGATAGTGATAGCGTCATTCGAGCAGGCAGCGGGATATGGTGCAGCAAAAACATACACGTCCCTTGCCTTAAAGACCATCTCAAAGCAGTTTCGATGTCTCAGAGACGCAATCGCTTCACAAATAAGAGCAACAAGCAAGACCTTGGGTGAGGATGATTGCTTGGGAGCTAAGGTAGAAGGTTCGAGGCTGAGGTTCGTGGACCACCATCTTCGGCAGCAACGGGCTTTGCAGCAGCTGGGAATGATCCAGCACAACGCTTGGAGACCCCAACGAGGCTTACCTGAACGAGCTGTCTCCATTCTTCGTGCTTGGCTCTTCGAGCATTTTCTTCACCCGTAAGAAACTCTCCACGCTGATACTACAATATTCCAGATATGATTATCCCTCTTGCCTTCTATTTAGATATATTAACAAGTCATTTCTTTTTGTGGCTGGCAGCTACCCCAAGGACTCCGATAAAGTTATGCTCGCAAAACAAACTGGACTTACTCGTAGCCAGGTATACATATGTATAATGTGCCTATAATGGATATCGTTCTCGATAGCATACTTAAGGTGTTAGTTCTATCAGAACTGTTTATTTGTCATCAATACAAAGCAATAGGCGTCTCATTACTGGAGAGGACGGGGATGGTACCCAATTTGGAATATAGAAAAAATCGAAAAGCTTATGCATATATGCTTCCAAAAACAATGTAGACGACAACGTACATTTGGTTTGGTATTTCTTGTTTTTTATGATTGATCACATTCACATGCACCTATGTAGTAGCTAGAATAACGCGAAAAGAGGTGGGTGGATGAATGCAGGTGTCAAACTGGTTCATAAATGCAAGAGTTCGGCTATGGAAACCAATGGTGGAAGAAATGTACGTGGAAGAAATGAAAGATCAGCAAGAAGGGAATAAGGAGGTGGGGTCAAGCCGTAAGGATTCACAGCCACAAGAATCAGGTGGGTTTCGGCTTGAACATCAGATGAGACGCTTCCAATCAAATCCAGATCAAAGCTTCAATAAACAAATAACTACCCAAACCAACACCTCAAATTCCTCAATCTACCTTCAACCACATTCTTCAGGATTCCCAGTAGCTGCAGGGTCGTCGTCTCATCATCATGACAAGATGCAAATAAGAAGCCCCAAAAAGCCAAGAAGTTCAGAAGTGATGAACAACTCTCCAAGCAGTATCCTGTCGGTGGACATGGAAATGAAGCCTGGAGACACAGACAGATCAGAAGGCACCGCAAAGTTTGGCATGGAAAGGCACCCGTTGATAAGTAATGGGAATGGAGGAGGATATGGAGGGTTCACCATGGAAGACATGGGAAGGTACAGTGTGGCTGACCACCTGGCTCCGAGGTTCCACGGAAATGGAGTGTCTCTCACTCTTGGACTTCCTCACAGTACTGACAATCTTCCCCACCATGGATTTCTGTCGCACAATATGAATTTGACAGCTGAAGGAACCGACTTCTGTGCAATCAATGCTCCACAACCTCATTCCAACACCAATTATGACAATATGGATCCCATTCAGAGCAGAAAGAGGTTTGCTGCCCAGTTATTGCCAGATTTTGTGGCCTGATGACCGTTCGTGGCAGGCTAGCTAGGACGCGTCCACGACTGATTTCACTTAGCTTCCGTGTGTGTTCTTTCCACACTGACTTAGCACAACACTCGGCTAGCACACCCGCGCGTTGATCCTTTACTATCCCTTTTGTTATTTTCGTTCGCTAATATTATAAGTTGTAGCCAGCCAATATATTGCCAAGCAGCTTATAGAATTTATATAGTTGGGGAGGGGATAATATTTTATATGCATGGTATATATAGAAGCATTAATAATTAGTTTGTAAAAAATTAGGGTATTTTTTCTGTTATTTTTGTTTGAAATTTGAAGGGTTTTGCGCTTGCATGTTAATTGCGTCGATTTAATTATTTATGACCGGTCATGGGCGTGACTTTCGATGTGGGCATATAAAATATTTGAGGAATTGGATATTAATTGAGTTGGTACTCGCTTTCGGACTTGCCAGTGCATGCATGCAAAAGTAAAAGGCTATGCTTGAATTTCAATGGGCAGAAATTGATTAACAAAACGTGCTAATGTTAGGATAATATTTTCTGATGAGCAGACAACTCGGCTTCAATAAATAGGAACGAATGATGAAAGCTGTCTTGAATTAATCAAGAGAGAGGGGTGGAAAACATGGCCGATCAGTCGGCAAATATCTATACAGGTTTTGGCATTAGCTAGCGAGTTTCAACATGGTTTGAAGAACTATCTAGCTTATTGGATGTGCAAGAAGTCAAGGGAGAAGCAGTTTTGTTTTGTTATCAAGAAGAAAGGTTGCTGCATCATCATAAGTGAGTCAGAGCTTGATAGGCGCAGCTACAAGTTGTTCTCCGTAAATAATTAATCAATTGGAGTGAGAACATGCTTCAATGCTTTTCACTGATTGCCTTCCCGCCCCTTCTCTCTGCTTGAGACTTGTATCGTGTGTTTGTGTGAGCTAAATGGCAAATAAATAAATGAATGAAACATGAATTATTTTATCTTGAGAGTCGGTTAATTTCGTTTTCATTTTTCATTTTTGAAAACTGTTCTACAGACTACTTTTTTTAACAACAAAACAAAAAAATTATTTGATTACACTAATTTTAAAAATAAAAAATTAGTTAATAGTAATGACCAATGGCAACAATGGATAATAGTATTTGATAGGGATTAGTGATGACTACTGATGATAGCTAGCAATGGAGTTGATATTGGTGGGCGGTAGCTTTCAATAGTCAAATGTAATGTATTTTAAAAATTAAAAAAAACAACTCTAAAATATTTTTGAAAAAAATTCAAACATAACGGTAAGAAGTAAGTAATTCAGAAGTAAAATATGCATGGCATGATATGGAATACGGATGCAGCCATGTTGAATAAATGAGTGGGCAATTATTGGGCTCATCCACTGAAGGGGCTGGCCCATATTTGCTCTTGAGCCCACAACCCCTATTCGATTCACAACAGGTTCCCAATAGGTCTGACCATACATGCCTCATGCAAATCATAAAAATGACCAGACATTTCCTTTGTTTTTTTTTTTTTGGTCACTTGTCATGCCGTCGAGTGCGTGTATTTTGCTAATTAAATTTCTTCTAAGCTATTTGAAAAGATGATGTCTCATTTCGGGCAGAACAAAACTGATGGAGGGGTCGTAAATCATAAAAATTAAAGTTAAATATTAGGCGCGTATAATAGCTTTTTAAAACTAGAGAGTAAATATCTTAAATTAAAACATTCACAAAATTCGAGAGTGAACCCTCAAAGGAAAAAAACTTATATATTCAATGTGCTTTAAGATTGTTTGGGCTAAATATGAAACGTTACTTTTGGTATTTGTTGTTCAACTACAAACAAAGATATATAAATTTTTTATAATTTTTTTCTATAATAAATTCTTATTATTGATTAAATTAAATTAATACATAAAGATTCACATGTCATGATTTGATTTGATAGAAGTATATTAAGTATATAAGATTAATTGCATAAGTCTTGCCCCCCTTTTTTTACCATCAAGTGATATGCAGTATTTAATTCATGAAGCATAAATAAACGTGCCCTTAATTTCAGAATTAATGAAATGATTCATGATTCTTCCAAAAAACGAAAAAAATAATAAAAGAAAATGAATTTATACGATGAAAATTCCAAGCATTTATAATTTATAAATTAATACTACTCCTTTCAGTCTTTCTAATTATAAGAGACATAACTAATTTTCAAATATCAAGAATTGCAATTAAAGTTAGTTGAGTTAATAACTACGTTACAAATGCTAATTTCTTATTCAAAATACCCTATTTAATAATTAATTGGTGATTTTTAATAATTGATCTCATTAATAAATGACTCTTTTTTAACGAGGATATAAAAAAATTAATAAACACCTGTGGTTGGTGTTTCTTATAAATAGGTACCAGATAATTTACAAACAAAAAAATAATTATTATAAAAAGGACCGGTGCATTATTTAGCTGGAACGATAACCACGACTTGAATGTGCTGCGACAGGTGTATAGTTTTATTTAGACTACAGGCAAACTAAGTCCTGGACTTTTTGAATACTAAAATGGATCATTTATGAGAATACACCACACCACAAACTGATCATTTATTTGTTATACTCTATCTGTGTTACAGACCAAAAATCAAAGGATGCCACTCTGATTCTGACGTGGTAGACGTGAAAAAAAAAATCTTTGAAGCCAAAAATCTCAAGTCAAATGCTCTGAGGTTATCTGCCCGTAATTAAATGCACCACTTAGTCATCACCCCCGCACCGCATCCTCATATGTTCAATTTCTTACATATAATTACATGCAAATCCAGCCAAACAAAATACCTGCGTTGCGTTGACATGTTATTTGATTTTATTTTCCCCTCGTCATATGATACTGATTACTGTACCAGTATTTCTTTTCGCTCACACGCCACCCTTTTTTTTATTTTTGGCCCCGTTACTGAGCTCGAAACATACAAGCATTATTTCCAAATATGATCCGCCGAGAGGGATGTGTGAGTGGCGATCTTAAATTAAACATATCTAATACTTAACGGAATACGCTTTTTTTTTTTAAAAAAAATCAAATTAGTCTGTGAGAATGTTTCAGAGAACATAATTTTTAAAAGTATCTGAACATAAATATCCACAATATAAAACTCTTAAAAAATAATATATACGGCGCCATATAAACTCACTCCTGAAGTTTCTAATCTGTCTGCTCTCTTTTTCACCCCTAACCAACGTTACAAAAGACAAAAACAGAAAAATAAAATTAAACAACGCACTCAAACTGTGCCTAGCATCCGCTCACATATCAATATTCAAAAGCTAGCTATATTCTTTTTAGCCATAATTCAAAAGCAACGTTAACGTATTTGAAAAGGTTACTGCTCGCCGGTTTGACCAATATCTCTGACTGGTAAACTCATTGAATCAGCGAGGGACCCAACCGGGGGAAAAACAAAGACTGAAAAAGAAAACCCAACAATTTTTAACTTCGTCTAGAAATGTCTTCGGCCCTGGTTCACCCTGTATATGTATAACGTCCTAGTATATATAATATAGCCACCATATTTTACCCACTAAAGCAAGTAATCATTTAATTTCCCTCTTTGCTTCATCCTCTTCCTCTCTTCTCCTTCTCCTTCTCCTTCTCCTTCTTCTTTTTCCTCCCATATTCACCATCAATGGCCGATATTGACGTTCCTCAATATTTCTTGTGTCCTATTTCTCTGGAGATCATGAAAGATCCTGTGACGACCGTAACAGGTATAACCTACGACAGAGAGAGCATCGAGCAGTGGTTGCTCATGGCGAAGGAGAGGAATTGCCCGGTCACCAAGCAGCCGTTGCCCACCGACTCGCCCTTGACCCCCAACCATACCTTACTCAGGCTAATCCAGGCTTGGTCCTCACAAAAGGCTCGCAACGGCGCAGTTCGGATTCCAGCCCCGAAACCCCTCCTCTCCTCCATCCACGTTCACAAACTTATCTCTCATCTTCAGATTCCTCATCTGTGTCAAACGACACTGAGAAAAATGGATGCTTTGGCAGGCAGCGAAAGCAACAGAAGGTGCATGGTGGAATCTGGAGCACTCGAAGCTTTGGTCTCCATAATTACCCAGAAATTCAAGGAAGGTATAACAAGTTGCCTTGAACAAGCTTTGAGAGTTCTTCGTTTACTCTGGGCTGCATCGTCCATCGCTCACGTGAAGCCTCTGGTTTGTGAAAACTTGGACTTTATCACCTCTTTGGCCTGGGCATTGCAAATTGGCGTGAGAAACAACGTTAATATAGTAAACGAAACAATGCCTATTTTGAAATCGACCGCAGGAGCCGCAGATTCAACCCTTCTGGGAAACTTAAATGTTGAATTTTTCAGAGAAATAACGAAGGTACTAAAAAACAGAAGAGTCTCGGAGCAGGCTATCAAATCAGCCTTGCAGGTGCTCATAGAAACGTGCCCCTTAGGAAGAAACCGAATGAAAATCGTAGAATCAGGAGCGGTCTTTGTATTAATTGATCTTGAGCTAGAAAAACCGACAAAGAACATAACGGAGCTCGTGTTCAACCTTCTGGCAAATCTATGTTCGTGTGCTGATGGTAGAGAACAGTTTCTGCGGCACGCAGCGGGAATCGCTGTGATGTCTAAGAGGATTCTGAGGGTTTCGAATGCAACTGACGATAGAGCTGTTCAAATATTTTCGTTGATAGCTAAGTACTCGTCATCGAATGATGTCGTTTTGGAGATGTTGAGGGTGGGAGCTGTGTCCAAGCTTTGCATGGTGATGCAAGCTGACTGTGCTTCGTATTTGAAGGAGAAAGCAAGAAGCATCCTTAGGTTACACTCCAAAACTTGGAACAATTCTCCCTGCATTCAAGTATATTTGCTGACCAGGCACCAAAGGTGATCCTTGCCTCTCAAATATATATCTCCGTTTTATTTTGTTTTTGTGAAAATACCCAATTTCATCCCTAAAATATATGCTTAGTTTTATAGGAAGGACTAGATAGCTTGTCTGCTCTTGCTCTCTAGTTTCTCTTGGTTTACTTTATTTTTCCACCTTGCTGGTCGACACTGTACATCAAGAACGGAACCTTTCTTGGCGTCCGTAATATGTTGTATAAATCAGCCCCTTACCTATAGTTGACTTTGCTGTAAACATAGGCACTTGCGTACTGTCTAAGAGGCAAATGCGCAGCCGACAACTATGACTGGAGGAGAATGTTGAGGATAAAGTGGTTAATTTCAAAATTTGAATTGTTTGAATTGAAGGTTAAAATTTGAAAACAAAAATAATTATATACTTCTTTCATTTAAAAATATGTGACATTTTTTAAAGAGTTAAATGTTTAAAAATATAAGATATTTTTGATCTTTTAAAATGTAATTATTATCTTTTTTTCAAAAGTATTCTTATCAATAGTGACTGTGATTGATTGCAGGATATTTAATAAGGATAAATATAAAAAGATAGAATTAGTTTACAAGTAGGTAATAACTTTATTGAGAAATGTGATTCGGTTAAAAATATTTTACATTTTTTAATGAAGGGAGTACTTAGTTTTATATATTTAATTAACTTATTTTTAGTTGAATTAATATATGTGAATCTTTCATAAATTATTTATTTTAAAAAAATTTTGATATAATAATATTAATATATTAAAATTTATATATGTCTTAATTTGATTGGATAAAAATTATATTAAGTATACAATCTTAAGAACATAAATAATCTTGTCCTCTATTGAATATTATTGATAATGTATATGTCGGTATTTCACTCTTGCGATCCAATCGTAACGTTTGAGGATTAAGCTCTTGTAATCTTAACTTGATCCTACGAGTTTAACATTTTTATATTTTTAACTTACAAAATTATGTCAACTCATTTCATGAACTCGAACTAGATACAAACTTAATTAAACTCACAAGTTTACTTTTGAGTTTACCATTTTTACACTTCTAACTTACAAAATCGTGCCAACTAATTTATAAATTTAGATTAGATGTAAGTTTAATTAAACTTTATTAAGCTTGTCAATTTTTTTTTTGGTCGAGTGAGTTAATTATATACTATAAAGAATTCAATTCATAAAAGTTGTAAAATCTGATTAAAAAAAACTTAAAATGTAAAAAATAATATTAATAAAAAAAGCAAACAAAAATACAAAAAAATAAGTTCCTTTATTTTAAAATATTTATGTCTTGTATATGGTGATTTATCCATATATATGGATTTAATTTCAATAATTTATATTTTTAATATATTTAAATTAAATTACAATCATATTTTAAAGGCTATTTGTTAATAGAGGCAAACTTTTATGAATTTACAATCCAAGTTTATATTTCTATCATGAGTTTATTTAAACTTATAAGTTTAACAACCTTGCTCATGAGTTCGTGTGCTACCCTCTAATCAAAGTAATATATATAATTATTAATATTTCTCTTTAAAGATCTAAACACTTCTATGGTTGAAAGATAGGTAATACTTCTAATCCTTCCGGCATGCATGGAAATATATGTGATTTAAGTTTTCAATTAATATAAAATAGAAAAACTATAAAAAGTTGTATTATTCATATGCAATAAAAAAAAAGCTAAATTAAGTATATGTGTCGTTATTAGAAAAGGGTGTCTGGTTAACAATCAAAAGAGAAAAAATAACTAACCTAATTATTTTCAAAACAATCATAATCCAAAAAAAAAATCAAAACAATCAGTTAAAAGTCGTGACAATGCGAGTTAGTTCCAGATAATGGAGAATAAGTTTAATTGTTTTGATTTAATTGGAAATTGAAAATTGAAAATTAAAAATTAAAAATTAAAAAGTTAATCTAAAGCTCGTATACAGCCCTCGGCTATATACGGTAGCCCATACGTAGTTTATAAGGTTTGTTTGCAGTGCCAGAAGTAGTGTCGAAGACTGCAATATGGTATGTTATTGGATTGAGAAAGCGAGCGTGCGCATTTGGTTGGTAGAGAAACGCACGGTTAGAATTGGTATTCAAATTGATTGCAAAGACAAAAGTGCAATGCTAGCGATGTGATGAGTGGTAGTATCACACTAGCTAGCTAGGCTAGGATTATTCTTCTCTCAGTAACAAAGATGCCATGGGCTCCTTTCATTTTTACATATATAAAAAAATTGTATCACGTAATTTTAAAAAAATAATTAATTAAAAATAATAATAATATTTAAAAATAAAAAAATTAAATTAAAATACTTCATGTTAATCAACATAAACATATATTAATTATTTTTTATTAATATAAATTATAAGAGACGATTTAAAAAATGTGTAATAAATATTCATTAAAATATGTGATTTTATTTATATAAAAAAATAAGTGAAAAGGCATAGTTTCTCTTATAAATAGAAATAAAGAGATTAATTTATTGTGGTTGCTGGAGGCACAAGTTTAGCTTGAGTGCCCATCACAGTAGTGAGAGATTTAGATCATCTAAATTTTAATCTGGATGGTTCAAATTTAACCCATTATTATATATTATTGTTTAAATAAAAATTTATAAAATTTATAAAATAATTTTAATATTTTTTATTTTTATTATGGTCTAAATTTAAATTGAAGGGTTTAATTTAATATTAAAATTTTTATAATTGATGTATATGGATTATTTAGATGTACTTTGTAGATTGCACAGTCCAAATTAACACCGTATTAAATTTAGATTGTCCAGAATATACCTGAATAGTAAATATACATTAATTATAAAAATTTTTATATTAAATTAAACTCTCCAGATTAAATTTAAGTCAAATTTAAAAATAAAAAATTATTAAATTATTTTATAATTTGTATAAATTTTGATTTTAAAAAATATAATATATAATAATGGGTTAAATCTAGACTATCTATATCAAAATTTGGATAATCCAAATCTTTGATTGTAATGAGCACCCAAACCGAATCCTTGCAATGCACACAAGTGAGTAATTTGTAACCAGACAATTATTATAGTTCAAATGATAATATCCCCTCTTATACTATTTATAGAACATGTTTTAAGAGATTCATTCAATCTTATTTATAAGTTATGATATGATATTTTAGGTTATATTTAAAAAGTATATTTAAAATTATCCTTCAAACCCAACTGAATAGTATCCCTCCCATCTTTTTCCTATAGAACAAGGTTATCTCTTTTGTATAAAATGAAACATTACTTTATAGTTTATATCTTTTAAATTACATTATCACGTCATAAATAATATCCCCCCTTCAAATTAAACTAACGCCGATCTTTTTCCTGCACTCGCTTTTTTTGACTAATTAAAATTATTGGTCAGTTTTAGATTTGTTGGAGTGAATGGTATGGCAACAGTGGATGGTAAACAAAGCAGAATGGGTGCAGAGGGGAGTTAAAGAAGCAAGTATTTTTCCATTTGAAGCATTTTAATTTGGAGATAGCGACTCCCCCTTTTAATTTGTTTGTTTTCGTTATTCTTCAGTCCAAGCATGCATTCCATTATTCCAAGATTGCTGCTCTGCTCCCTCCCCTGCGTTGATTTTTCTCCCTTCAACAATTCCTACTGTCTAAGTCAAATAGCCACCATCAGAGGCCTATCCAATGTCTCTCTCCTTCTCCATACACTATACAGCATAATTCGTGTTGATGAAGACGCAAACTATATTATCATGGCTGGTGATAATTTTAAAAAAATATTTTAATTGTTAAAATGGCAACAGCACGTGTGTGTGAGTGTCAGCAGAGTGTGTCTGTTTAGTATCTTCAATTTTTTGGATACTAAAATTCAAAAAACGTCATTAAGAGCGCATGGCAGTAAGTCCCTGACCCGTCCCTTTGCGGTTGAGCCGGGACAGTTGGCAATATATGCGGTCGCGAGGGATATCTCCATTGTACTTCCTCCGTCCGCTGCCTCTGTCTTTATGTATAAAAAATTTTGTAATTTTTTTTTATCTTTAACTATAAAAAATTATTAACATATTTTTAATGAATTGACTGTTAAACTTTTATTAAGTTGGAAAGGATAAAATATAAGTACTCTTATTAATTTATTTAAAAAAATTTATTTTTTATTTATAATAATTAAAGATAAAATTAAAATATTGTTGTGCTTTTAATTAAATAATTAATTTTTATTAATTTGCGTAATTTGATTAAAAAACATCATATATATAGGAACAGGGAAAATATGTTTTATTTATTTTTTTTAAAGAGATAAATGTTATCAGGTCTATTCAAAACCAAAAGCCAAAAAAAAAAACAAGGAGTAAATGTCATACGTTTAAATGGGGAGAAATATCATCTGGAGAATTTGTTAGAATTTGGAGTGGAACCTCCAAGTAATTGATGCAAGGTTTGGATAAAAAATGAAGAACTTGAATGCAAGAAACCTTTTATTTCAATTTCTAGTAATAATTTACACACTTCACTCTTTGATTTTTCTATTCCTCATTTTTCTTTTTCACCTTTACGTGATAAACCCACACAATGTCTTTTCTCACACCCAACCAAAGTTTCCGACACACTTCAGTCGCTCAATTCTACTTATTTGGCTTCTTTTTCTCTCTGCACACACACGCAAATGACACACACTCACTTATTTATAGATGAGGAATTAACAATGGTGAAATGGCATACAAATATGTTTCACCGCCTTGAAATATGTTTGTCCACAAAATAATATAAGGATATAGAGGGAGGGAGAAGGAAAATTCTAGGGAGAGAGAGAGTCGGTGAAAATTTTTTACTCCCCTTTTATGACTACTCTCTCGATCTCTTCATCATTCTATATTGCTTCATGAAGTCTTTGATCTTGGCTCCTCTAAGTGATTTTGTAAACATGTTTGCAATTTGATTGTTGGTTCTACCTACTTTTTCATCTCGATCTCACCTTCGAGTACTTCCTCTCTAATGTAATGATAGTGCACCTCTACATGCTTGGTACGAGCACGGAACACCGGGTTCTCTATAAGTTGAATAGTAGACTGGTTGTCACAATGCAGCTTCACTAAATAACTTATCTCTTGGTGCAAGTCTTTCATCATTTACATTAACCAGCTACTTTCTTATGCTGCCATTATTGCTACTCTATAATCTGCTTCTATACTCGATAGTGACACAGTTGGTTGTCTCTTGTTTAACCAAGAGATAGCTCCAAATCCAATATTAAAGATGTGCCCAATTGTTGAATGCCTTGTATCATAGCCTTCAACAT